GAGTCCCGTCCCACCAACCAACCTTCAACACCCGCTCCCCGTCTCTGTATGTTCACAGGAGTCCCGTCCCACCAACCACCCTTCAACACCGCTCCCCGTCTCTGTATGTTCACAGGAGTCTCGTCCCACCAACCACCCTTCAACACCGCTCCCCGTCTCTGTATTTTCACAGGAGTCTCGTCCCACCAACCACCCTTCAACACCGCTCCCCGTCTCTGTATGTTTACAGGAGTCTCGTCCCACCAACCACGCCACCATACAGAGCCTGGCGTCCCGGCTGGGTCTCCCTGCTGACGGCACCGGCCGAGGAGGTCACGTGCCGGCGCCGTGCTGTGTTCCCGATCACATGGAGTCTCTCACACTGCTCTATTTCGACGAGACGAGACGGAACGTCGTCCTGAAAAACTACCCGAACATGGTGGTGAAGAGCTGCAGTTGCCGCTAGGCGGCGCTAGTTGGGTGTGTATAGATGTCGCTGCGGTCGCGTCGGTGAAGCTCGGCCCAGGAAAGTAGAGGTGCTGATTGCTGTGTGATGGCACACCGCTGAGTGACGTCACCACTTGTTCATGAATGACGTCATGAGGCGATGGATTCCGCCAACCAGACGATGATTGGTGTTTCCATTGTATCGCTCTGATAAGTCAAACTAACGCCATGCGATTGAGTACTGAGCAGATTTATCGCGATATATTCCACACTTTGTGTCAAACCTCATAAAACATAGACAGTAGGTGTTTGTATTTGTACCAGTTTTATTTTTACAAGGAACGAATTGGAACGTTATTCCACGAAGGCTGAAATGATACGCATTCTCGAAAGAAAGGAAACCCAAACATCTTTTCGCCTACCACGTAAGGAGAATTGTGTAGGACTGTAAGTAGGTACCGTTAAGTGTATCTCTCTGTACGGTAGGTACGGCCCTCCAGGTATTAAGTGGTACGTTGCCAACATCACAATAGTCGATCTGTGTTGGTGAATACGTCCAGTGGCTTTTGAAAACCAGCGCCGAAGTGTGTGCACCAGACATGTGCTTGGATCCGAGAGCTGGATCTATGATCTCAGTGGATCTCTCGACAAAATAGAGGGGTTGGATCTATGATCCGAGTGGATCTCTCGACAAAATTCAGGGGTTGGATCTATGATCTGAATGGATCTCTCGACAAAATTTAGGGGTCGGATCTATGATCTCTGTGGATCCAGCGGGCTAAAATTTGTGGAGGACCTATGATCTGTATGGATCTCACGACAACATGTAGCCAATGAAACCCTTATCCTACATAATTGTACACCTTACAGTGCAATACAATTGAGAATTATCACTTGTGGACATGGTTATTGGTTAAGACCACTTGTGATCATTAGGTATCATAATTAAATTTGAATTTAAATAAACAACATTTGTACTACATTTAACCCGCGCCCGGCTGGGGGTCCTGGATTTCCACGCCCTGCTGGGGGGGGGGGTGTTTGAACACCCCCCCTTCTAACTCGGCTCCTGGGCCACGTAGCGATACGCGGAAGGCGGCGTTCGAAAGAGCGTCAAAAATAATGAGGAAATCGCTTCGGTCAATTTTTTGGTCAGGTCAAAGGTCAGGTCACCAGAGGTCATTGAAGGCAAATTTTCGCCGATTTCCAGGTCGAATCTCGAAAATTTCCAAGAAGCCAACGCATAACTCGGGAACCAATAGAGCTACAGCGCCGCGGAAAAGCGCATTCGATAGCCCTATTAACGCCCTTTCTGAGTAATTTTCTCAGATTTGACCTAACGTCAACGGTTTTGCCTGCAGGGGGCAAAAACTGCAAAAATAGCCGATTTTTTCGGAAACAGTTTTTCTGCAATAACTTTTGACCCAAGCATTGTACGAGCTTACTTTTACCGGCATCGTGTTCCTCTCGTCAAGACGCATCGAACGAACTATAATTTGACCTTGAAAGGTCAACTTGAAAATTTGACCTCAGGTCAAGGTCATGACCTGACCGGAAAGGGTCATGTTGCATATCAGTCGATCCGTATCGTCGAGCTGAACACATCTAAGGCGTTTTCATCGCTCTAGCATGCCTCTATCAAAAGTTATTTGCGAAAAACTGTTAGATACCATTCGTGACCTAAGATGACCTCAGGGCATAAACAGGGGTCACAGACACCATTTTCATGTTCAGTGTGTCTAAACCACTTGTAATTCAGTGTTTGGGAGTGTTTATAATGTCTTTCGTCCAAAACAGGCGCATTTCAATTTTCTCCCATTGACTTATAATGGTGAGGTCGCAAAATTGACCTGACCTTAGGTCATCGATATCAAAATTCTGAGATAAACATTTTGTACATGCTATTGCTCTTAGCAATCGCTGAAAGTTTCAAAGCGATCGGTCACTCGGTGTAGCTATGACAGGCATTGAAACTTTTTATGAGGTGAGGTCACTTCGAGTGACCTGGTGACCTGACCTTGAATGACCTTGGTCTGAAATTTTCACAACATGTGTAGAATTGATGTATGATAAGGTGTACCAAAAACGGCGGCGCTCCGCGCCGCCGTTTTTGAGATATTCGCGAAAAACCACAGGGGGGGGGGGTGTTCAAACACCCCCCCCCCCCAGCAGGGCGCGGGTTAAAATAAACCAAGAACATGCATATTGCTACTTTTTGTGACCAATAGTAACTTTTTCATGACAGCACTGATGACAATCTTATCAACAAGCTACAGCCACTTTAATTCAAAGAACAAACAGTACAGACAGATGCAGTGGCAGCAGGGCACTGCAGATTTTCATTTTGGTCCCATTCTTTCTGCAACGCCAGTAGGGCTAATGCTAAAATGCCAAACTCTATGGGGGGCACTGTACCCTGGTGCCACACCCCCCCCCCCCCTGTTCTGCCGCCTATGGACAGATGTTAGGAAATCAATCCTGGAAGCCAAATAGGTCAGTTTTGTTAAAAATAATCCAGCAATCCACTTCTGCCAGGTATGAAATCCCAATCCAGAATGTTCGTATGAGCTATTAGTATGTGCAAAACAATTTCGATTTAGTAAGAATAGCAACCAACGTCTAATACTTTCCTAATAAAATTACAAGTTAAAAAATGGCATCAACTTCTTCAGATTACCTACTTTTGGCCACTTTTGGCATCCTGCCAGCTGCCACGTGTGGTGCCATGCTGTGCTTTTGTTATGAGAGAGCCTCCCAAAAAAAGACAAACGAAATTCACAGCTCACGTTTTGGTAATATGGTTTTATTACGTCATTATCGTTTGACCAATGAAAAATCTTAATTTGACCAAGACCGTAATGATTCCAAAAGATTCCCCGTAATAGGCCCTCTAAACTAATGACGTAAGATATTGCTATTCTTTTGAAAAGTGAATAAAATTAAGATGCAAGGCGCACACCGCTCAGGGCCATATAATACCGTTTCAGCTTACGTTTACGTCATTAAATTCAACGCTACAAAGATGATATTCACAAACAATCGTATCGTAAAATCATGTGAGGCAGAAAAAATGAACATTCTTTAAAAAAAGCTCCAGACTTTTGAATTTCCAGTTTGATTTTTTATTTATTTTCATTATACTCGAAGGTAGAACGCCTAGCTCATTTGTTATTTGAAATGACGTCACGAGTTCAATTTAGATACTGAATAATCATTTTATGGTAAATATCCAAGGTCATTACAATTGATATTTCGCTTCCCATCGCTTCCGCAGGCTGTTGAATATTTTTATACTTTTGTTTATATCTCAGTTTATTTTATCAAATATTTCTTTTAATAGATTGAAATACCTTTACCTAACCAAGCCACATGTGTCAGTATCATCTTTTATTGTTTATCAATCAATTGTGGTAGCTGGAAACTGGAAAGCCTCATGGTTGTCTAATGCAAGATCAATGAGATTTTCTTATCAATATCATTATGTAGATTCTAACATGAATTGTGATGTGGTAGGTACCTAGTTATGTATAGTTCATTAGTCATTACTTTGACTTACCTCTATGTTAATTGTTAATGCAAACTTTTCTGTTGGTATGTGAACTGTGAACAATCTTCATGTCACTCAATTCTCTCAAGTTGTGACCGTCATGAGCCTCCTTTATTTTGTGTTCTGTATAATGTAACTGGATGCCTTTACTAATATGGTCTTTGTATAAGATTGTTTGTTTCTAACCATACTTTGGTATTCATAACTTCTTATGAAAGAAAGTTGTTAACATTTTGAGCACCTATGTATGAGCTATGATCCCAACGGATCTCACGACAAAATTGGGGAGCCAGATCTATGATCCGAGTGGATCTAGCGGCAAAATTGAAGGGTCAGATCTATGATCCCAGTAGATCTCTCGACAAAATTGAGGGGTTGGATCTATGATCTGAATGGATCTCGGATCGGGATCCATGGGATCGGATCTCAGATCCATTTTTCCGGATCCAAGCACATGTCTGGTGTGCACGAACCCTCTTCTCATTTCTATAATGAGTCATTTTACAGGAGTTTCTCAGTCATTCAAAGTTACTACACCAAAGTCGCATATAGGCTAACCAACCACTCTTTTTCTGGAGGGCCTACGTGTAATAAATGTATGGGTATTTCGAATGGGGTGATAAAGCGTTAGTTTCAATTTCGCTTGTTAGATGTCGCTGATAGTTACGATAGGATTTCCTGTGCTCATTCAGGTGCATCCAGACAATATGTATTATATGGTTCATTCCGTGTCGTATGAATTGTAAATACGCGCCCACAGAGGTGGTAACTAGCCGGTCCTGAACTCACAACTACATAGATGTAGATGTTCAGAATAGCGGACTAGCGAGGGGAGACAGTTTCAGACACTGTTGGTCCTCCACTCCTGTTTCATGTTGTGGTACATGTTCTGCCGTATTTGTTCGGGTTATGTGTGCCGGTCTTACCTAATTGGCGCCGATTAGGTTTGGCAGGTCGGCAGTTTGAATTTATTGGTGGCATGTTGTTTGTAATATCGGTGTTGTGTTGATGTGTGCTGGGTGTATGTTGTGATTGCACACGGACGCTGTTGTTCTGTTGTCGTGTGGGCCAACAAGTCTTGTGGTGTATTTTCATGGATTCCAAAGTAAAGTATGCAGTAGCTGGTTCAGAGTGATTTCTTGTTTTACGAGGCGAATGTCGGGCTAGAAACCGAATCAATAAGCTTCTTAGTTATTATGGATTTCTACCTACAAAAATACGAACTTTTCACGGCGATCTAAATACCCAATTTGATATGTTTCCAGTTTCATACTTGTTGGAACCGTCCAAAATATCTTCGGCCTGTCTACTACGAAAATATCTTCGAAAATATGTTCGGTCTTCTAAATACGTCCATCGACCCTTAGATAGCACTGCGTGATGTCAAGGTGATGCCTGATGTTTGTCCAAATTTTTCGGTCTCATAAGATTCCAGCAGGCTGTTGGCTTACCCTCGCCGGCCGAGGGGGGTGGGGGTAGGGAAGGCGGTGCCCCCCCCCATAGGGGTTTTCCCCGATAGCTCCGAATACGCTGGCGATAGAGAGCTGAAACTTGACATACCTTACCATTGATTCAAGCCGGATCTTTTGACACCAACCGCATTTTCAGGTCAGGTTAGGTCACTGACCCATGACGTCATAAGTGAGCTTCTGCACGGTCTTCAGATGTCACAACTTCGCAACGCCCTCACTGCCAGAGGAGCTGTCACAGGAAAATGAAACTTGCAGGATCCAGTATCCATTACAAATCTCGTAGCTTGTATATCTCGGATTTTTCCTTAAGGTCATATGAGTTCAGGTCATTTTCGTGACCTCAATGGGAAAAATGAAAACTTCTATTCTGGCGCTGGGAACGGTCTCCAACTATCTCAAGCACACAGAATCGTGATTTCATGCACTCCTTGCAAGGTTAGATGCGTCACTTTTGCAATGTTGACCTTGCGTGATGTCATTTATGATGTTATTAGAGTCATATTAGTTTTTCGTTCATAACTCCGGATAAATTGAGCTAGCGAGTGGGGAAAGCCACCAATGGACTAAGGAAGACCTGCCGAATCGAATGATATGCAATATGACCGCCATCGACCAATTTCATGACTTGGGGGCGCTGATCTGACCGTGACCTGAGGTCAATACCCTAAGTTGACCTCACCCGAACAAAAAGTATATCATTCGATGCGCCTGAGGAGGCAAACACGATGCTGCCAAAATCGCGGCTCTCCGGCTGATTTTTTGCGAAGTTATTAACCAAAGACGGAACCGTACCTTGGTGCACTTGACCTGACCTCAGAGGACTGCATTATGTCTCTGAGGACTGACTATCTGTTCACCATTTTCTTGGAGTAGATATGATATGCTAGTGCAGCAGATCTGCATTGTATGATGTTATGGCCAGCAATGCTCAACACAAAAATGTTGAACTTTCTGCTGCAAATCTAAGCCACCCTGTGGCTGATGAGCAGCTCTGCACTGGCAATATGTTTTCGGCATTGCCGTCTGGGCTGTGGTTGGCGCCTTAAAAACAATGGTTACATGTGAAATTCCAAAATTGTGAACCATTTTGTAGCCTTGCAGATATTGCAATATTTCTCTTGCCATCTAATTGGTTTGAAATACCTAAGTCTTCATTGACCTGGGTTTTATGAGCAAAGTTGGTAAATGCATATTTCAAACTGAGTGCAGCGGTGAGCGAGTAGGAAAATCCTTTCCTGATGCGTAGTTACTTGGTAATGTAGCCCAGGTAATTGACTCAAGAAAATGATCAATTATTGTATCTATCTTTCAGGTTCAGTTATATGTGTAACTCACAAGTGCTCAAAAAGGCTGCAAGATGCCTAGCTAGCAACTGCTCCAGCCTCCAACCAGTTTGAAGGAAGAAGGGGTGTGTTTGTCCACAGGTAAATAGAAAATGTCTTTTTCAGTTAAGTCTGAGAGGATGTTTTAGAAATGGATATAAATTGCAGTTAGTATTGTTCTTATGTGTTTTGTGGATAGTCTCTGTTCATGTTTTAATGTGGATACATCACAATCCATAACAACAGTTCGCCATAAGGACAATTGATTAAACAATGGTCTGTTAAGAGTTCAGTAGCATCAAGATGCAGTGAATATAAATGTATAGTTACAAAGGGTATTTCATTTGAACTAACCTCCACCCAGCCCCTTAAGTTACCAGTTATTCAACACATTAACAGATGCCTGTCATTTTTCACTTTCTAGGTTTCCTCAAGACCCAGGTGTGTACAGCGAAAGGACTGGCGCATTCAGGTGAAGATGGACTGGTGGCAACATGTGTCGCTTGCCCCGGTGCAAGCTTGGTCATGCGGCACACTTCATGATGAGGGCTCCTTCGATTGCACAGACCAGTTTGGCTGTGCTATGGTGCAGTCCCATCAGGTCTTTCTTCCCTGCTCACCTGCAGGTGAGTGTCATGTATTTGTGCAAGGTGAGCAGAGTCCACTGCTGTGTCATTGCTAACATGTGAAAGCAGCGTATGATCTGTTTATACTGTTACAACATACCATACCAACTTTGAGCACAATCATTCCAGATGTTTGTGAGAAATAGATACGTGCTCTGCATATGTACAATTGTACACATACAATAGTATGCCTCAAGTGATTGCTTAAACTTATAAGCCACTCATCAGATTGGTCTCCAGCCAGTGTCCCAATTTTGTATGCAATGCATCCTGCCATTCTGGAGTCATAAAAATACCCAGCACGCGCTTGCACCCAAACCACATTTCTCATTGCATTGCCAAGGGAAGTGGGTGCCCAAGGCTATAGAACTCCAGGTAAGGACACCAGCCGTTTGACCTTGAACGCCACCGGCCGGCCGATGACGTCATTGGAGGCAAGCCGGCTCGGCGGACACGTCGGGCGAATGCATAACGGAGGGGCGTTGGAACGTTGCCGGAGCCGGGGAGATATTTTAATGTGGTTGCATACCACCATTGTTATGTTGATTGATATACAGACTGCTTTCTTATAAACCTCGATGCATCCTAGGCCTGGATGGTGCGTACATTCGTAGAACGTTCACCCCGTCCGACGTCCGTGGTCGAAGCTATGCATCTAAAGACCATAAGACGAGTGCAATAACGGCGACCCGATCCCGTCTCTGGCGAATCTAGAGGGGTCGTAAGGACCCTGGCCGGATCTGACCGTCTATTTTTAGGGAAACGGGGTGGGTGAATTGACAACCGATGGTTTAAGAGATGATGATAATTGATCCCGTCGTCGATTGTTGTTTGACAGACAACACATGTTGTACTGGGCGTATAACCATCAGAGGTAATGACTGAATGTAGGCAAGCATAATTGGTCTGTCATATTGTTTAGGAATATAAAATCGTAATGGAGATAATTGAGGATATGATCTCTACATTACGGGAATTCACTAATTACTACAGCCCATAGTTGCACCGCCTGTTGTTTTACCATCGGTCCCAGGCAACTCCAGGGAGCTGCAGTACCTACCCGGCGGCCAAAGCGGCCACCTCGTCGACTCGCAAGTCGCAGGTCCTGTGGGGTTCCGTGATGCTTCAGTGCTTCACCCACAGAAGCACGGGTATAGCAGTAGGATTTGGGGTCAGGTGTCTGTCCGCATCTTCATGGTAGGTATAACGTATACAGCGCCTGGTCCCGCCGAAGCGCGGTATCGACTGTGACTTATTCACAACTGGCGGATCCAGGAAGCGGTCTTGGTCACTGCGGGGGCTTATCCCAAAAAGGTTTCTCCGAATTAATTAAAAAAACTCGGATTTCGATTAATTGCGCACTGCTGTGCAGTGTGATTAACCAACATTTCCTCAGAAAAGCTGTGAAGTTTTCTTTTATTTTCGAAAAGCGATTTCAGGCGCTGCCCCGGTTGTGGGGGAAGACGTTTGCCCCGGCCCAAATGCCTTCCCCTGGATCCGCCAGTGGGTTGCCCCACCCCGAGCTTTACTAAAAAGGTCTTCCAACCCCACCAGAAACCGATGGTAAGGTGAATTTAAACCCAATAACTCATATCTGTCTGCCCGCCTAAATATATGGTACGGCACCCGGCCCTGTCGGAGCTCTGAGCCGATCGTGACATTTTCGGCTTTCCCCATCCCAAGCTCGATTAGACACCTTCTCCCTCCCCACCCGATTGCTGATGTCAATTCAAATTCAATATCTCATCTCTGTCTTCCCGGCTCCCGCCCATAACCCATTCATTGCACACCGTTCAGCGCCCGGCCCCGCCAGAAGTATCCTAGCGCGCTGAGCAGTTGCCTCCAGCCGCGTCATCGCGAGGCCCCGCGCGGCCCATAACTGAATACATTGCGCGAATAGCCGTGTCTCCCCCCTGTGGGTGCCCAACAACACACAAAGTTTCATCAAAATGTGTCCAGGCATTAAATAGGAGTTATTGCAAACAGAACAGATTTGGCACCGATGATTAAGTAAGTGCCTGGTGGAACGTGCCAAGTTGACTCCCCAAATGCTTCAACAATGCGTAATTTCAAGGAAGAATGGATAAGCTACACAACATGATAACTGTTTGCTAAACAGCATGTATGGCTGCAAAGATATGGGCCTCTAGAATGCTTGATACCAAGTTTGACAGTTCGTACTCATTTAACCCGATATTTTTTGAAGTTATATCAATATTTTTCGATAATCAATCTCATTTCTTTCTCGCTCATAAAGATTTGTATTCCATGGACCATGATTGATCGCCTCATGTGTGAATGTGTGTGAACATGGCAGTGTGTGCATGTCAGTGTCGAGTCCGCTCATCGCCCTATCCCTATAAGGAGAACTAAGAAGTAGGCATGATTGGTTGTCTTTATTTTCCTCAGGACCATTTCAATAGCTGCCAGAGCAGCGGGGGCTGAAGCAAAGGCTAGAGAAAGCTGCGACTAGGACGTTGGCCTGTTCCAAGCAGTCTCGAAACGCACACAAGAACGGGAAAATGTCGATCCGGACAGCACGCCCCAGGGAGCGTCACTCGTCAGAGGCGGTCTCGACGGGCAGGCCGGGCGGTGCCCAGGGAGCAGCGTCTCCCGTCTGTGGCTGCCCCGATGGGCAGGCCGGGCGGCACTCCGGCAGCAGCTGCATCCGTCTGTAGCGGCCCCGACAGCAGGCCGGGCGGCACCTTGGGAGCAGTGGCACACGTTTATGTGTGTGTGTGGGAGGGGGGGGGGGGCGACGGCAGACCAGGCAACAGAGGCAGTCTACAGGGAATAGCGGCACCCGTCTATGGTGACCCCGACGGCAGGTCGGACACCGAGGCGGCTCCCAGGGAGCAGCGGCACCCGTCTGTGGCGGCATCGACGGCAGGACGGGCGGTGCTGATGTAGTAGCGTCTAGTTTGCTGATAAACGTTAGCGATATAGGCATTATCCTAGTCACCATGCTCAGGCGCGTCGATGATATGCTTGTGCTAGGATAAGTTCAACCTACAATTCTGACCTTACGTCACGTTGATCTAGGAGGGCCGTATAACTCATTTCGATTTTGACGGTCTTCAGTCCATTGGTGACTGTCCCGACTCGCCAGCTCAATTTAATCGAATGATTTACCTAAACCTCCGACTCTGGCTTTGTGACGTAATCTATGTCGCTAAAGTAAACGGTGCAAAAGTTAAAAATTGGTTTACAAGATGTGTATTATCTCATGCGTGCGTTTGCATAGCCTTCAATCATTTCCGGCACCAAAATAGCAATTACCACCTTTCCCCATTGACTTGTGATGGCGATGTCACGTGACTGACCTGACCTCAGGTGACCGTCAGGAAAAATATTAGATATACAAGCTATAAGTCCTCTGGAGGGTACAAGGTTCTGTTAGTTTGATCTCCCTGTGAAAGCTCCTCTGGCAGTGGCACTGAAGGCATTACGAAGTTGCGGCATGTCATGACCGCGCGGACGTCATAGGTCAGTGACCGGGCATGACCTGAAAGGATGATTAGTGTCATAAGATCCGGATTTAATGAAAGGTCAGTTGTACCAACTTTCAGCTCTCTGAGGCCAGCGTGTACCGAACAAGCACGAGTAAACCGTCTGGGAACAAGGGGTGACTAATCCCTCGCTGCGGTACGGTACGATGATAAAAAAATTGATTTCAAATACATTTGGTGAGGCTATAGGCTCTAACTAATCAGTTCATAACCATACTGGCCATCTGCAGCCTCCCAATAACTCAAAAATCGGTTTGGAAAACGGGCTCGAAACCGCTCCAGCCCCATTCACTTTACGTGTTGTAGCAAATGCGAGTCTATGAAGACGGCTGCCCCAACATGGCCGCCTGACCTACATGTTCGCTAGTATGGGGAGCCAATGGGCGTGTCCTATCTAGTCTGTATATCTATGGTGGCCACTATCGGAATTTTGTTTATTCGCCGCGCCGCGCCACTTTCGTAGCTAGGCACTTCTGCTTAGCTGGCTTTCTGCTGTTTTCAATATATTGATTTAATAAAGGATGGTCATCAATATCAATTTTGTTTTTTCATAAATAATTTTTAAGATTTAAATTCAACATAATGGTTTTATAATTTCTCGTAAAAAAATAAGTGTTGACATGAAAGTGTAATTTGTAGGACGCTTAAAAAATTACGGCAACTACGCAAATGTGCTTAGTTACGGAGGTGTAAACAATTCCAGTTGTGGCTTTGTGAAACGGCTTCATTTGCGCTCCGTAGTTTGAAAGGGTGTGAATTACGGAAAGGTGTAAGTTACGGCAGAGCTTTATGAAACGAGGCCCAGGCCACGCAGCACTCGCAGCCTATCGTCCCCGGGAGGTGTTAACTACTGATTTGAATGGCACAATAGGAGTATCCGGGTAGCACCTCTCCTTGGTTGCAAAAACGAAATACTTTCACAAAACGTCGTTGCGCCCCCCCCCCCCCCCTGCGGTGACCGAGGGGGAGGGGAGAGATCAGCTGACCCCACCTGGCTGCAGTGGGGGTTACGACGTCACCGGTCTGCGGAAACAGCGGCGGCGGTGCCGAACAGGGAAGCGAACGCCTGAGGATAAACAGTATTGAAATCGGACCGGACGTATCAGTGCATTCCCAAATTTAGTCATGGCGTCGAGCTCTATACCGCCTGCCGATAGGCATCGCTACAATGGTATGTATGTATGTCAATATTTGATGAACGCTAAGCTATCACCACTTTGTTGACTTTATTACCGTACTGAAGCAGATTGCACTGGTCAGTTGAAGCGTTTCGTCTACTGAAGAACATCGCGGAATGCAGTCTGCGCAATCGAGGCCTTATCTATCGGCAGGGCATTAACTACAGCAGAGATCAAAACGTTCAGAAATCCACACCCAGGAGCCCCAACGACGCCATTACAGGGAAGCCCACTATCGTGCTTGATACGCGCTCCGCTGTGAAATTGGCGGACTCTGCCCCCGTTGAGGAGGGGGGGGGGGGCGTTTCGGCCAACGATTATCCCTCGCCGGACCTATGGGTTTTATACATACGCGTTAACCAAGGTAGGGGGGGGGGTTAGGCCACTCCATCGCCGTTTCGTATCTGATGATGGAGCTGGAGCCTCGCAGAAACAGCGCCGTTACGAGACGCAGCGATTGGTATGTACCCAATTTTAACCCTCGCACCGACGGGGGGCGGATATCCGCCCCCCCTGAGGTTTTTCGTGAATAGCAGGAAAACCGCGGCGCGTAGCGCCGCGAAGTTTAGTATGACTATAACCTCATCAATTTTACACATGGTGTGCAAGTTTGAAACTCCTACCTTTTAAGGTCAGGTCACCAGGTCACTTTGAATGACCCAACCTCCAGTCACTTTTTTGCAACTTTGTCACCGTGCCAGGGCTACAGTAGATGTCGGAGGCCTTTGAAAGTCGCAGGATATTATTAGGTCATTAGTAGCTACAATTTGTATATCTCGGAATTTTGATATCGGTGACCTAAGGTCAGGTCAATTTCGCGACCTCCCCATTATAAGTCAATGGGGGAAAAATCAACTCCCTGTTTTTACCACTAAAACGGGTCGGAATGGCCCCATATACCATACATGACTTCATATACGATCAACCTTCACTACCTTGAGGTCTGTTTTGCTGTTGGGCAGCTGTGAGGTCATGTGACGTCATCAAAGGTCACCAAAGGTTTTTGGCCAATAACTCCGTACAGGAACAAGATACAGACGCGTGGATGGTCTCATTGTGTTCAGCTCGTCAAGACGCATCGAATGATATACATGATGACCTCGAGGTCACGTGACCTGAGGTCAACCTTTGACCTTGACCTTTCGAGGTCAACATATATATCATTCGATGCGGATTGACGAGAGGATCACGATGATGCCCTTAGTTTGTTCCTACCTTGACTAATTCGAAAGTTATTCGAGAAAAACTCTCTCCATATCTAGCGCCGCCATTTTGACTTTTTCGACCCCTGTGACGTCATCTTTGACCTGACCTGAAAATGACCTTTGTAAAAATTGTAGATCTTGGCCGTGCGTATCCGATGCCGTTTACCGCTTGTCGCTATCTTGCTTCGTTCTCGAGATCTCAGGGGGGGGGGGGTGGTCATCCGCCCCCCCCCCCCCGTCGGTGCGAAGTTGGCGCAGACCCCCGTCGGTGCGCGGGTTTTAACCCTCGCCGGCACAATCCCCCTAAGGGTTTTCACGAATAACTCGCGTAAAAAGCGGCCGATCGCAACGAAACTTTAGGTGCCCTCGCATTAATCAATTTTACACCTACCCTGAAAATTTAATGACCTTGACCCAAATGACCGTTGACCTGTGACCTCTTTTCCGAGACCATGTTTGGCCGGAATTGCGATTCCGCGTATGTCGGCTCGCATTAGCCGCGCGTTTGCAAGCTTTTCGTGGTTTCAAACGTTCAAACATGCGATTTGATGTTGCTCCCATAGGTACATTAGGGTGGGTGTCAAGGTCACCTGAAGGTCAGGTCAGGTCATTGACCTTTGGTGACCTCGGGTGACCTCGGTTCACTTTTTTCGAGTTTTACATGTTTCTAGGGTAGTTTTTTGGAGCTGAATTCGAATTTAGCAACCATTTGAACATTTACGAAGTAGTTTTCGTGCCTTCGTAACGTGTTACGAAGCTGTCAGAGGCGGTTGACACGTATTACGAATACCCGTCACAACCCCTACCGGTTGACCTGACCTGACCTGACCCGACCTGGTCTAAATGCTAAAAGACATCATCTCTGATCAAAACTAACACGATATTTGTGATCCGCACCCCGGAAAACCACATAGCAGCCACACTTTACGACTTTCTAACAGGTCCCGATTTTCCCGGTTTTTGGGTCATTGACCTGACCTGGAAGGTCACCCGATGACCTACGCCCTTAACATTGGGTATCATCGGCTTCTTCTCGTGACGGGCAACACGCTCATTTTTTCCCGCGAAGCTCTAGCTCGATCAGGGGCCAAACGCGAGGGGGGAGTCGTAGGTACCAACCCCCTCCCCCCTTGTGCTGTCGAAGGACGCAAAATGGCCTGTGCCGGCGAGGGTTAAGGTCTCAGGCCAACCCATGACCTCTAAGTTCAGGTCAAGTGGACCAAGATACGGGTTCGGTTTTTGGAAAATGGCTTCGCAGAAAAACGGCCGCAGAGCAGAGCCGTGATTTTAGCATCATTGTACTTGCCTTGCTCAGACGCGTCGAATGATATACTTTTTGAGTAGATGAGGTTAACTCTAACCAATGTAAGCCATTTAATTATACGCTTATGGCTAGTAATTCTCACATGGTGCAGAAAGCAAACACTAGAAAAGGGTTACCTATATCTAATAGATATTTATTTTGCCTTGGATATTCCCAAACAAATTGCAGTCCTCAGGTTGAGAGGCCATGAGTTGAGAGATGTCATGTTTGATGTTGCGTTAATAAAGTAAATCATATTGTTTTGTATTTAGATGATAAAAGTGAAGGTAGTGCTGTAAGTACTGGATGCCGTTTAGAAAACGTTGGTATTGGGGTATTGGGATAATATACAACTGATAAGTACTCATCAATGCACAAAGTCAAAGCTGTTTTCTACCTGATAATTATTGGGAAATTTAGTGCAAGGTCATAAAAGAATTCCTTCATGACAGACACCTCACCAATTGTGCCTATATCTTATTTCGCAACCCATAGTGGAGGGGGGGGGGGGGAATTCTTCCAGATAAAGGATAAAGGTTGGGGCTGCAGTCACTTTGTTGTCAACTGAGCTTTCCCCACCCCTACCTATGTATTTTTTCATTAACCTTGATTTATGTGTGTTACAAACGTAGGCGTTTTTAGTGTCAACAATACAAATTTAATAGTAATTACAACTAACAAACACAAACTTTCTCAACTCAGACAAAACTTAATTAATTCACTTCTCAATATTCTCGTCAACTGGCAACAGTCACCTAACTTGCTTGGTGTCGTTCTCGGCGCAATGGAGTGTGTTCAAAATATTTGACGCTGTCTTGATGCTATGACGACGGGGCGAACACTTTTCATTCGTCAACAAGTGCTTGCGGAGTTCCCGCTCGTTTTTTTTTTTTTACACAGTGTGCGTCAGTTTATGTGCCGCGTCATATCTGAAACATGTTTTGTGAGGCTCCAAAATCGTTCATTATATCTCCTTCCAAAGAATTGTTTTTAAATATTTTCTGTATAAAAAATATGCTGCGTGCGTTTTGGGCTAAATCGCAAGCTCCATTCATCTTATTTTGCGTGAGAGTAGTCATCATCTGGAGCCCGGGAATTGAAAGCAAGGAATAGCGACGAGGAGATGGTCTTATAAAAAGTCACCGCCAATGCGTGGAGCATTACAAAAACAAAAATATTTTACCCCTCCCCCCCCCACCGCCTCAGGCGTTCTCGTGCTGTCACCCATCGGGGGGGGGGGGGGCACCTGGTGGGGCGGACCAGCCCCTCCCTGTTCTTTTCCGCTCATATCTCCAAAACGACTGCAGATATAGTCACGAATCTTTCAGAACCCCTCTGGAAGTACGTTTTACACATTGTGACATATTTTTTTTTTTAAATGTTATGATAGGTTGGCCACAAAACGACGTCAGAATGACGTCATGTTCTGCCATTTTTGACCTAAAAAGTTTCGAATGAAGAGCTGTCAGGCCTGAAGCTTTGAAGACAAATGCAATTGTCCAATGCATAAAAGGTGTACAGTAAACAAGACTATAAACCATTATTTCGGATTTTTTTACCCCCGAAAATAAAAAACAGTCTTTTTGAAAAATAACGAAAAGTCTCAATTTTTCCGTATTTAAAAAAAAAAACTGAATACCTGTATGTGATAGCCCCTACTGCCTTCCATCTACATATCAAATTTGAGATAGATTGCTATTTTTTGAATAAGTTATAGCGAAAAAGAAAAAACTCAAAACTGATGACGTCAAATTTTCAATCTCATTTTTAGCAAT